GTCCCAGCAGGGGACAGTTTGACCACGAGACGGCCATCGCCAGCGCGAGATGAGGAGGCTGGGAAAGGAGAGCCCATGCTTGTATCGTGCCGGACCGTCTCTTTGCTGTGAGTTGCGAAGAATCTTTAGATGCTGAAACCAGGACATCATCTATTCCCCAGTCTACAACGGGAGTGACATTACAGCCTCCAATTGAGAGCGGATCATAGCCAAGTTATGTAATTCGGCGAAGAAACGGATACATTGTGCTCATGGACGCGAGGGATGAATTGGGCTACGATGAAGATAGGTAGGTAGGTAGCTCTGATAAGAACACACCCGTTCGCATCTGAGTACATTACGTAAGTTGCTAGTTACTACTTTGGTTGTCGAAACTGGGACTATTATTTATGACTTGTATCGATGGCTCTTCGCGCTGGTCAACAAAATACCTAAGGAACGTAGGGAAGAGTGTCCAATTACATGTAGGTAAGCACAGGTAGGTGCATGGCACAAATCATTGAAATTTCATTACCCGAACGCGCCACCTGGTCTGATACTCAGATGGCGTGTGTCTGCTAATGCTGGAAGGTAAGGTAGAGATGGTGTGTGTAGAGAGAACAGGAAATGACGATACTAAGAGCGCATTGGACAATTGAGTCAATTACGGTTTGAGCGCGACTGCCCGATTCTTTGCAGCGCGTGTGATTGCTTACTCGTACCTGCCTCTGCATTATTTCTCGAGCGTTGATTTGGAAGGCGCAGAGGGCGAAGCAGTTTATCCGACAATCTGCCGGGCGGCACATCAGCTCCAGTGCTCCTGCCCAAATAAACCCTTTTGCGGCGGTGCAACTCTCAACGCGCCCAGCGGGTCGCCAATTCCACTTTCAATCGCTTCCACCGGCCGTGGAAAACATCCCCATAACGCGAGGCGACCACACCACCACCGGATCAGGACTATTACGCCTGGTTTTGGCTCCTGCAGATGCAGACTGCTCGTTTACCTCTGCGACAAATTATGGACAGCAACGGCAATCCGAGTCCAGACCCCGACACAGCGGCGCGTCGCCGTTCGGGACGCGTCGTGAGAGCCCCCGACAAGTTCTCACCTGAAGCCGCGGGGCCCTCATCTGTCGCGAAACGCAAGCGCGATGCCGGTGAAGAAGGAGAGGATGATGAGAATGATGACCCAGAGGTTGACGACGAAAGCGACGAGGCTGATCAGCTTTCCGACGACGAGCCTGCCCCCTCCAGGAGGGCGAGGAAATCGTCGCAAACCAAGCGCGCAAAGAAACCTTCAGCCAAGAAGCCCAAGATCAATGGCACGCAACACGCCACGGCAAACAACACCGTTACGCTTCCTCGAATGCCCAAGAAGGTCGTCAGACTTGACACTGGCGACAAGGGAACCGGCCTCTATGGTACCATGCCAGCCCTTCTCACACCTTCGTGAAACCTAAGAATTGCATGGCTAACTCTATCTTTCAAGCCGAAATCTTCTCGCAGGGCAACTCTTCCGATACTGTCGCTCAGCAGTGGCTAGAGAGCTACAGAAAAGACGCGACGCTTGCCCTCCTCGACCTCATCAATTGTGTTCTGCAGTGCATCGGGTGTGAGCAGGAAGTAACAATCGACGATATTCGCGATCCGGACAACATTCCAAACAGACTTCGTGATCTGGAAAATTCTTATTTAGAGGTACGCGATACCCCTGCATTGTTAACGTCTCCCCTCCCCAGGCTAACCTGGCTCTCATCAATAGCAACAAGAAACAGAATATCCCCTCATATCCAGGTCAAAGTCAGCGAAGTCATTTCGCGATTTGCTTCTGGGATTCTTTGCATCATGGGTCGAGCTTTTGCATGAATCTGAACTTTTGTATAAAGATGAGGACTTGACGGAGAACGTGCAGAGTTGGTTAGGCAGCATGTCCTCTTCTCGCGTCCGATCGTTTCGCCACACAGCGACGACCATATCTCTTTCTGTGACCTCGGGCCTTGTTGAGGTTGCTAGCACTCTGGACAATCGAATCACAAACATTGAGCAACAACTACAAGCTTCAAAACGTGGTAAGAACAAGCCGAGAACTGCTGAATTTCAGCAAAATCTTAATGAGGCCAATGAGTATCGCGACAAATGCACCAATATCCTTCAGCTTTACTTCGACGTCGTTTTCGTACACAGATACAGGGACTCGGATCCCAAGATCCGCACTGAGTGTGTTGAGGCGCTGGGGCACTGGATATGGGAGCTTCCAACGGTCTTCATGGAACCGAGTTACCTGCGATACCTTGGTTGGATGCTCTCTGACACCTATGGACCAACACGCCAGGAGGTCCTCAAGCAATTAGCCAGAATTTTCAAGCGTGATTCTGAGCAACTCGGTCACTTCATTGATCGATTCCGACCCAGGTTGGTGGAAATAGCCACTCGCGATGCCGAAGTAGCTGTTCGCGTAGCCGCAATTGCTGCTATTGACACGCTACGCGAAGCAGCTTTACTCGCGCCGGAGGAGATTGACTCCATTGGACAGCTCATTTACGACAATGAGATTCGAATCCGCAAGGCTGTTGTAGGCTTTTTTGTAGCCTGCGTTGACGAAGTTTTTGCAACCAATGTCCAAGCGCTAGGTGGTACAGATGCTTTGGATGAATTTGACAGCACTGATGACGATGACTATAACACTCCGCGACGGGAATGGGTTAATATCAAATGCCTCGCCGAGACACTGTCAGGCTACGATTCCCAGATTGAAGAGCGCCAACAGACCGGTGGCCTTGCTGGTTTGGATGTCGCGGTCGATCTACTCGCTACCCACGCTCCGGAAACTAGAATTTCTCTTGCGTCACAGGTGCTCTACGAGAGAGTCCCAGAGATCAAACGCTGGCAGTTACTGGCCGGTTACCTTCTCTTTGACCACACTACAAGCGTCAAGGCCAAGTCAAGATCACGAAAAGCAGATTCGCCCGAAGCAGCGTTTAAGAAGGCTGTGGCACCTTCACCGGCTGAAGAATTGATTCTTTTGCAGGTTCTGGTATCTGGTGTTAAGTTAAATCTCACTCATGTCGTTGAACCCGACAAGGGAAGACGAAGAGTTCCGCGTCACGACATCGAGGCGGCACAAGAAGAGATTGCGATTGAGCTATCTGACATCATTCCACAACTTCTAAGTAAATTTGGAGCTGAGCCCGAAACAGCAACTACCGTTTTACAGCTGGAACACTTCGTCGCCCTGGAATCTTTCCAGCAGTTACGGCAAGATACAAGCAAATACGATGCTCTCCTTGATGAGGTATGCACGCAGTTCAACAGACATGACGATATCCGTGTTATCTCCGAGGCCACAGCTGCCCTTCTGCACGCCCGCCGACAGGAGGAATTGGAAGAACTCACAGACGCCAAATTAGCTACATTGTGGGAGAGCAATATCAACGCATTGCGCAATATTGACAAGACTTGTGAGCTTTCAGCGCGTGGTAATTTGGCTGCAGGCTCATTGAAGAGCCTTTCGATTGTTCTCATGAAGATCAGCAAGCTGTCAGGAATTTCTGATTGCATCGAGTTGCTCGAAGCCGAGGGCTCGTCGGATGACTCGAGCTCGCCTGTTGTTGGCATTCTTAGCAATATCGTTCATCGTGGAAAATTCGAGCCTCAGGAGGACGAAATTGATGATCTTGAGGATGAAGTTGTGTCATACGCCATCAAAGCCTGCCAGTTCTACTTCATGTGGAAGGTCCGCAGTCTATCGAAACTGATTTCCGATGGTGCTGGTGTCTTAGGCGAGGATCTGGACCGCCTGTTCGTCTTGCGATCAACCTACCGCCGATACCTGATTGAAACCTTCTCATCCCGCGCAGCGATTGATGAGCTTCGTCTATTTGCTACCGGCTGCCTCTGCGACCTTCACCTCACATTTGCTACTCTCCGCACCCCTATTGAAAACTATCGCCCTTCATCCAGCTCTGCATCTCACTCCTCAGCAGACAATCTTCAGAAACTGGTCCAAGATATCGAGTCTGGCCTTGTCCCCGAGTTGCTCCAAATCTTTGATGGAGCAGAGAAGCAATATGCCAAGCGGAGTAAGAGAGACAAGACCTTGAACACGCCTGCAGACGACGACGAGCCGATTGACGATGACCCCATGGATGATGAGGGTGAGAATGACGAAGACGAAAACTTGACCCCAGAAGAGCGCTTCGCAGCGGAGCTCAAATCCGAGAAGGCGCTTTGCGAGTTGGCTGCCAAATTGGTTCTTGCCATCAGAGCCAAGATAATTGACCGTCGCGGCTCTGAGGCTGGCAAGCTTCGACGCAGACTGCAACGTAACTCTACAAAGTTGGGGAATAATTTCAGGGAGGTCGTCAGCTATCTGGATGAGTCGAAGCGTGTCAAGCAAGACAAGAAGAAGGGCGGTACCAAGACAGACAAGCAATCTCTAAGCAAAGAGAGGATCGAGATCGATGATGAGGATGAGGATGATCTGGAGGTAGAAGAGATTGAGGACGTCGAAGATGTGGTTGACAACGAAAAAGAGGATCTGGAGGGCGAGCTGGAAGACGATCCTATTGAGGATGTCGACGATGAGCCGGAGGAGCGGCAGAATAATGACCGGGATGACAGTATTCTTGGGGACTAATTACAGCCCAATCTAAGTTTCCTTTGCGTTATTCTTCATGTTTGTCTTTTATTAGGTTTATGAAGTATGGCAGAAGGTGCCAACGGCTTTGTTGATGAAAAGGGAATTGGCATGTTCTGTAGTGAATGACCACATATTTATTCAGAGTTCAAATTTTGATACTTGTCTATATTCTGGCCTGGCTCATGGTAGTGTATATAGTGCAACAAACACCACTTCATCAAATGACCGGTTTCTCCAGTCGAGCCATTTGTCAGGAGAAGGAGGACAATTGTAGTAAGATGAATGCGTTATATGGCCGCCCTACCGTGTGGCCCTGATATGTTATCTCACAACAGTTTCGGTCAAGCTGGAGCTTATTTCTTCTTAACTCCCACAAATGGCCTTAATCCTCTACAATTTTAGTCCCGAAAAGCCCGTATACCCTCTCCCAGCGTTTGTTATTTCCCGCATCTGCCTTGGTCGGGTCTGACTCCCGAACCTTTATGCCATACTGGCGAATGCAACAGTTGAAGGGCAGGTTGGACACTTTGCTGTCAACATCAGCATTGTCCATGTTGTTCCCATCGCCCTCGTTGTCCGAGCTGTCTGGCGGAGGGGGGTCTCCCGTGCGGAATTGATTCGCCTTCTTGGCCGCTTGACGCTGTTCGAGCTTGTTCTCCTCCAGGTTGCCCCAGAGGAGAAACATGCGCTGGCGCAGCAGATCCAGAGTCTCGACATCGCGCCTCAGATCGGTGGCGTCGATATTGACTAGGCACTGCGCTGACTGGTTGTCCACGACGACCCAGACCCGTTCTCTCTGCTTGATGTCGGGTGTGGAATCTTCTAGTTCAAGCGCGAACCGCCATTCCCAGCTCATCGAGCCGTTTGCCATGTCTTCGTCGTCCATGCCTGAACTGGAGTCCGAGTCCCCATCGTCTTCCAAGACGTCGTATTCAGAAGTCTTCTTGGGGACGGCGAATTGTAGTATGTCGGGGGGAGAGAAGTTGGTGACGCGGACGTTGACGCGATAGTTCATGTTTGTGAATGGCATTGGCAGCTTCACTTCCTCGCCATCAATATCCAGATCAGCTGACATCTTAGTGAGAATATCTGATAGGCAACTAGTAGGCTTGGTATGGTTTTCGCATTTGACTATGGCAGATATTAGAGAACATGTATCATTAGGAGTGCAATATGGAGGGAATCTAACGCACCCTGTGCATTCATCTTCTGTGTAGAAACGGGAGTGTTTGATTGTTGAATGTTCTGGGCATTCTGAGCATTTTGAGCGCTCCTTTGCCTAGCTCTCTTCTCCTTTCGTGAGAGTTTGGCATTCATTACAGGTTTCTCTCCTGAGAGAGCATCTGACTTCCGTTTCTGACCAGCAGCAGCAGCGTCGTCAATTTGCTTCTTCTGGGCCTTGAGACTCCGTTCGTATGCGCGTTTTCGCTCGAGAGCTCGATATAGTCGAGGATCCATGGTCTCAGGGTCTTCACGAAAATCCAAGGGAATCATATTCACTTTCGATTCTCCAAACTGTCGATCGCCTCGTAGATACCCCTCTAAGTTGGCACCATTCTGGCCATATTTTATTTGCACGTTCTTCAGCATGACCCAATGGCCTTTGCCAGCTTCTGATCCAGTTCGGATTGCTTCTGCATGAGAATCGTAACATGTGACTTGCATGCTGCGCTTCCCAAACGGGCCTTCCCAAGAGGAGGTTGCGGGGAGATCCTTGCTGAATTTCGTCTGGTAGCCATAGCGGTCTCCTTCCTGTACCCCAGCCGTCTTGGGGCCTTTGTATTCATGGTGGTAAAAGGCTTGGTTCTCCGTAAAGTCAGAAACCCACAGAGACATTTTGTCCCCGGAATCATAGGTCCTGACAATATAGACCAATATGTCATAAAACATGCCGTCCTTGAGGTCCTTCAGCTCACTAAACTTTTCCTTGAAGTTGCGAGACTGAATCACCCGCGTCTCAAATTCGAATTCGGTTGGAATTCGTGTTTTGTCAAGTCCATGGTAGCTAAATGGGATATGTGCAAGCTCAACTTTGTTGAGGGGCCTTTTCACCCTCGAGGTGGAGGGACTGAAAGCCACAGAGGCATCCGCGGGGGGCCGGGGAATTTTACTTCCTGTGAAGAGGTATATTCCAGACTCACGATGAGTCAGAAGAGAGATATCACCAAAACCCCGTTTCTGGATCTATTATACGTGTTTAGCAACAATGACTTGACCAGGGGAGGATGGGGAACATACTTTGAGTCTCAGCAACACCACGAAATCGCCACGGGCTGGCTTTGGCATATCTTTTTGAGGGAGAAAAATGTTGATGGTCAGAGAACTCTCGTCGTTGTCTTCCACCGACTTGTCGTAGATTCGCATGGTGCTCTTCCAGTCTGAGTTTTATGTAAGCGGCGTTCATAGTTGGTGGTTTCGCATGAATTTACCTGATCCTTTTGTAGCCCTTGGTTCCTGAACGTCGATGACAACACCCATGGAATTAATGAAAACTCCAGTTTTATGATCTCCTTCAACTATTTGTTGGACTGTTGCGAAGCCAGGAGGCAGCGCGTCTGGCGCGAGCTGATTGGATGGAGCCATCCTGGATAGTATTTCTCCGGTACATCTGAATATCGTGCGTTGAATGCGAACAAATAGAAACACGGATTAGATCACCAAGGTGCTCTGCGGATATTTGCGACGGCGTTCATAGCCAGTGATATTTGTCGGGCAGAAAACTCCTAAGACAGCCGCGGTCGGTAAGTTGGGCGCGTATGAGACAAGTGAGTACTGTCGCGAGATCATGTGACCAAGAAATTCTGGGAGCGGCTCATGCAGCCTGATCGTCCTGGCCTCGAAACAAGGCAGTACTACAAAAGAGGAATGCTAGTAGTCTTGCTTTGTCACGAATACGACACAAGCTGATAGAAGATACTTCGTACCACAACTCTCATGCTCGTCGCATACCAGGCTCATCGTCTAAGCACAGAGGCGGAAGAAGTCATGAGCCAATGAGGGCCACCGGTTTCGTCTCCATATTTCGGGGCTAAGTCAGCGGCGAAACATGAGGCTGCAATTGGCTGTGACAAAGCTCAGCCTTTGTGCGCCTCTTGGGTGCCTCAGGCAGAAAACGGCCCCCTCCAAAGCTTCCAGGCTGTTTTCCACCCCACCAGCTCAGGAGTTGGCGGGGCCTCCGCTTTGGCGCTATGGGCTGGCCCTGGTTGTTGCTCATAGTGACAGGGCACTGGTCGGAGGCTCGCCTTGGCTTCAAAGGCACTGAAGTTTCTCCTCCCCCCCTCTAACCTTCTTCCACCATTCACCTCGAATCTCTTCCAACATCTCCCACCTACGCGACCCTTCCCCGTCTGCTGAGTGCTGGATTACATCTCCATCTGCTTGCATCGCACACACGTCGCTCTGGGCATTTTGTCCATCTACTTCTCTTTCCTTCTTTGATTCCATATCCGATCTTGTTTTTCTTCTCACCGGATCGCCCCGCACAACAACACCGCCGACAACATGGCTGAACGATACATCCCGGAGCATCGCCGGACGCAGTTCAAGGCAAAGAACACCTTCAAGCCCGAAGAGCTTCGCCGCCGCCGCGAGGAACAACAAGTTGAGATTCGCAAGGCGAAGCGAGAGGAGAACCTGGCAAAGCGTCGTGGCATTGGGTCTGGTGAGAACCGCCCCGGTGCTTCTCTGGGAGCTGCCCCCGACAGCGATGACGAGTCCGCTCCTACCGAGTCTCAGGTATGTTTTCCTCCCATTTCATCCATCTGAATACCCTCACATGGCTTTGTTTGTTTTCCCCTCCCCACTTGCCTATGTTTTTTTTTCTTGTCATTGTTTGTCTTGGCCTATGACGGGTGGAGGGGGCAACAGCGTTCGTGGAAATTATGAACTCCACCTCATAGCGCGCCGCCAGCTCTGAACCTGGTCCAAGATACACCCTCCCAAATTGCCTGCTACCTTTTTTTTCTCATTGGACAATGGGGAAATGGAAAGCATATCCTACCTGGCTCCCCGCACCTCAATCCCCGTCACTCAAGCCATAGCACATGTATTCGGTTTACTGACAAGAAATCATGTGATAGTTGAATGAGGATCTCCCTCAGATGGTTAGCGGAGTCTTCTCTGACCAGATTGACCAACAAATTCAAGCCACCACCAAGTTCAGAAAGTTGCTGTCAAAGGAGCGAAATCCTCCCATCGAAGAAGTTATCAAGACCGGTGTCGTCAGCCGATTCGTCGAGTTCCTCAAGTCCCCCCACACCCTTGTGCAGTTCGAGGCTGCATGGGCCCTCACAAACATTGCCTCCGGCTCTGCAACCCAAACGCAGGTCGTCATCGAGGCCGGAGCTGTCCCCATTTTCGTTGAGCTCCTTTCCAGCCCCGAGCCTGATGTCAGGGAACAGGCTGTCTGGGCTCTGGGCAACATTGCTGGTGACAGCCCCAGCTGCCGTGACTATGTCCTCGGTTGCAATGCCCTGAAGCCTCTGCTCAACCTTCTTGGCGACAGCCGCAAGCTCAGCATGCTCCGCAACGCAACCTGGACCCTTAGCAACTTCTGCCGTGGCAAGACCCCTCAGCCCGACTGGAACACAGTATGTCTCCTTCAAGTCCCAACACTTATCTGGTAAACCACTCTAACATTTTCTAGATTGCTCCTGCCCTTCCTGTGCTGTCAAAGCTCGTCTACTCTCTCGACGATGAGGTGCTGATCGATGCTTGCTGGGCTATTTCATACCTCTCCGATGGCTCCAACGACAAGATCCAGGCTGTTATCGAGGCTGGCATTCCTCGACGCCTGACCGAGCTTTTGATGCATGCTTCCACCTCTGTCCAGACACCTGCTCTTCGCTCTGTTGGTAACATCGTCACCGGCGATGATGTCCAGACTCAGCTCATCATTAACTGCGGTGCCCTGCCCTGCCTGCTCTCCCTCCTTAGCTCCACTAAGGACGGTATCCGCAAGGAGGCATGCTGGACCATCTCCAACATCACTGCCGGCAACTCCTCCCAGATCCAAGCTGTCATTGACGCCAACTTGATCCCTCCTCTGATCCACCTCCTTCAGAATGGTGACCTCAAGACCCGAAAGGAGGCTTGCTGGGCCATCAGCAACGCCACCTCTGGCGGTCTTCAGAAGCCCGAGCAGATCCGCTACCTGGTTGCCCAGGGCTGCATTAAGCCTCTGTGCGATCTCCTTGTGTGCCCTGACAACAAGATTATCCAAGTCGCTCTGGATGGCCTCGAGAACATTCTCAAGATCGGTGATCTCGACAAGCAGGCTGCTGGCGAGGGTGCCGAGAACGTCAACCGCTTCGCTCTGTTCATCGAGGAGTGCGGTGGCATGGAGAAGATTCATGATTGCCAGAACAACGCCAACGAGGAGATCTACATGAAGTCTTACAACATCTTCGAGAAGTACTTCTCTGACGAGGAGGAGAACGCCGACGAGGGAATGGCACAGCCCACTGGCCCCAACGGCACCTTTGGCTTTGGTGCCAATGGGCCCGCACAGTCTGGCGGCTTCAACTTCGCCAACGGAGGCGACTCGATGGACATGTAAAGATCAAGGACTGAACACTGGGCGAAATACTTTCCTTTTTGGAACCCCGAATCTTGGGATCTCTCGTTCTACATCACGGCGACCTGTCCAAGTATGGGTCCTTGAACTTGACCAGAGTTTGCCAAACCCCAACCCACTGTCACCCTGGAAGACATTACACGTACAATACCCCATCACGATTATGATTTTTATACATCACCCCACATCACCCCACCCCCTTTTCACCAGGATGGCAGAAAGCATCGCTTAGGAGACCTGTGGTTGCATCACCGAGCGATGGAGAGTAGCGGCGTCGCAGGATATATGGAAGGCCCAACGGTAGCTTGAAAGCTCCGGCCTCGAGGGAATTATCAGAAATGTAATGAGAGCAGCATATCGTTGGGATTTCAATCTCAAGATGAAGTGGTCGTGACAGCTGGCAGATTAAACCCTGAATCTGTTGGTTTTGTCTATAAGAGAAGAAAACTGATCGGCGTACGCTGCTGAGGAAAGGGACGGTCTGACAGCCAGCACCAGTGTGTTGGACTTGTCGGCAAGGTTTATCTACATAGCCTACATACAGCCAAGTGGCTGAGAGCGTTCTAGTTCCTCATGTTGAACTAAGAAAAGAAATTTGTCTACAAATCGTATGAACTATTTTATGTGATTATAGTGATGCTTAAACTTGGCATGATGGTATGTGATGCGACTTCTAGATTGCGAAAAGCGAGAACCAGGTATGATCATGCTTTGGCGTTTTCTGATTTATGGCGGGGTAATTTGTTTGGATAAGAGGGACTGCCGCTGGTATGGCGGGGCAAGAACGGGAGCTGCTCTGGGGTGGAAAAAAATACTACACACTGTATGAATATATGACTTATGTGTGTGTGCATATAGTGCGAATAATAACATCTAAAAAAATGTCAGCACAGTCCATGCTACACGACCACCTCTTTTGTGCCCCTTTCTTCCAGGTGTCGATGTATTGGGCGACTCGGGATAATAAAAACTGTACTCGACTTTGGAATACTGTTTTTCCCGCCTCATAGAGTTCTCCAAACAGCAAGCTTGGGTGCTGAAGAGTTGACGGGGAGTGTTTTTTCCTCCGCTAGTGCATGTGAAAAGAGCTTGTTGACAGCGCCAAACACATCCGGCTTTGGGTAATACAAAGACCACATATTTGATATGGCAAAAAAAGGCAAAGCCAAGGCAGAGACGCCGGCGCCAACCCCAGCCGGGGCCGCCAAAGACGGTGCGGCGAAGGGCAAAAAGGGCCAGAAAGGAGGCGCGGCGGCGGCGGCAGCAGCAGCAGCAGCCCCCGAGGTGCCCACGGCAGCGCCGCCAAAGCCGACGGTGAAGCAGCTCATCGGCGGGTCGTCGTGGACGGGGAAGCTCCCTGTGAACCTGCTGAGCGAGTACTGCCAGAAGCAGAAATGGGACCGCCCGGACTACGACACGCGCAAGACGCCCGAAGGGTTCTCGGTGTGGATCACGCTGAGCGCGCGGGACCCCAAGACGCAGGAGACGACGAGGCTCGAGGCCTTCAAGATCCCCGCGAGCCACAAGCACCTGATCGTGCGGGACACGGCGCTCGAGGCCAAGCATGCCGCGGCGACGTACGCGCTGTTCCGGGTGTGCAGCATGCAGAACAAGCACACGGTGCTGCCGCCGGACCACAAGAGCCTGTGGAAGGAGTTCCAGGTGCTCAAGGCGCAGGATGTCAAGGACGGCAAAGGGTGGATGTACGATGCGGATCCCTTCAAGACGTTCCACGACAGGGCGGACGCGAAGGCCGCGGCGGAGAAGAAGCGCAAGGAGCTGGAGCAGGCGAAGGCGAAGGCCAAGGAGATGCCTGGGGCATCTGGCCTGGCACTGCTGAGCAACAGCGGTGATGGGTCTGGCCGGTCGGCGAACGCCATGAAGGGGTGGACCATGGCCCCCAAGGTGGAGATGGGCCGGCAGACGAGATCGCAGCTGGAGGGGCTTTTGAGAAAAGGTATTACTTGGAACCCTTATGGCGTTGAGATGTCCAAGGAGAAGATCGCGTCGGTGAAGGCCGAGCTTACCAAGCTGGGGTTCAGGCAGAGCCACGTTGACGAGGCGGTGGGGTACTGCAAAGACCGAGAGGAGACTCTCGAGTGGCTTCTTATCCATGTGCCGGAAGATGATCTCCCTAAGTGGGCGCTCCCAGAGCGCTACGCGGTGGGAGTTTCTATCGGAGCTACGGATCTTAGGAAAGAGGGCATCATCAAGCGACTGTCTCAAAGTGGCTACTCGCAGGACCTGTGCACTCGTATCTTAAACGAGAAGGGCGGCAACGAAGAAGAGGCTGCAAGCGCGCTGCAAGGCTTGTTATGCGGTAAGAGTGCCAACGACGAGGATGACGATGCTGACGTCGCCGACTTCCTGGACATGGGGTCGCCGAAGGAACAGTGGGATGAGGAAGTCGGAAGTCTGGAGGCGATGTATGGTGATCACTTCCAAGCCATCGACGATAAAGTCATACAGATCCGCCTTGAGTCTATCAAGGACAAGATTCACGGGCAGATCGAGGTCTCCTTACAGATCCGGATGGCACCATCGTACCCAAAGCGACTGATTCTGGGCATTGTGGCCAACCTTCCATCATATATCAAACTCAGCATCACCAAGAAGGCCTTGGAATACATGGACACGCAGCTGCGGGAAGAACCAATGAAGATGTTCCTGGTTGCTGATTGGGTTCAGCAGAACATCAACAGCATTGTTGAAAAGCCAGGGAATCTCGTGGATATCTCCGCTGTTTCGTCTGCGGCCTCCGAGACCAAGGTGCTCGCCCCAACCAGGCGAAATGGGAGGTCTCACGGTGCACCGAGACCAATCAGATGGATTGAGAATGCGAAGAGTAGGGAGGCGTGGCTTCGAAGACAGGAAACTCCTGCGTGGAAAAAGATGTCAGCCCAGAGACAGAGGCTACCCGCATGGCAAGTTCGTGAAACGCTTATACAGACTGTAATCGATAATCATGTTACGATTATCAGTGGTGAGACGGGTTCAGGAAAGTCCACGCAGTCGATGCAATTTCTACTGGATGACCTGTACAATCAGGGGCTGGGTGAGTGTGCCAACATGATCATCACTCAACCTCGACGAATTTCAGCGCTAGGATTGGCGGATCGCGTGGCCGAGGAGAGATGTACGAGAGTGGGAGAAGAAGTTGGATACACGATTCGTGGCGAGTCCAAACGATCGAAAGATACGAGGATCACATTCGTGACCACTGGTGTGCTCCTCCGTCGACTACAAACGTCAGGTGGCAGAGTGGAAGATGTCGCTGCTTCATTGGCCGATGTCAGTCATGTGGTCATTGACGAGGTCCACGAGCGGAGTTTGGACACCGACTTCTTATTAAACTTGATTCGAGAAGTTATGCGAACGCGCAAGGACATGATCAAGCTCATCCTCATGTCCGCTACTCTCGATGCTGCAACATTCAAAGACTACTTCACCTCCGAAGGACTCCGTGTTGGGACAGTTGAGATTGCTGGGAGGACGTTCCCCGTTGACGAATACTACTTGGATGATGTTGTTCGCATGACTGGTTACGGTGTAGGGGAGTCCAAGGATCCATACATCGGCGATGAAACCATGGGCAAGATCATCCAAAAGCTGGGAGCTCGTATCAACTATAGTCTCATCGTCGAAGCGGTCAAAGCTATTGATTACGAACTTGGCTACGAAAAGAAATCAGGAGGAATCTTGATCTTCCTACCCGGTGTAGGAGAAATCAACCAAGCCTGCAACGCTCTGCGGTCTATAACATCTCTTCATGTACTGGCTCTTCACGCTTCTCTGGAGACTCGAGAACAGAAACGGGTATTCGCCAACCCTCCCCCTGGAAAGCGAAAGGTTGTTGTGGCTACCAATGTCGCAGAGACATCGATCACCATTGACGACATTATCGCGGTAATTGATAGTGGCAAGGTGAAGGAGACTAGCTTTGACGCGCAGAACAACATGAGAAAACTCGAGGAAACTTGGGCATCACGAGCTGCTTGTAAGCAACGGCGAGGACGAGCTGGTCGTGTACAAGAGGGCAGATGCTACAAACTCTACACTCAGAACCTGGAGCAAAACCACATGGCAGAGCGGCCAGAGCCGGAAATCAGACGGGTGCCTCTAGAGCAGCTTTGCCTTTCGGTGCGTGCTATGGGTATGAAGGACGTTTCTGGCTTCCTCAGGCGATCTCCCACGCCTCCCGATACTCCTGCCATTGAAGGGGCCCTGAAACTCCTCCAGAGAATGGGAGCTCTTGATGGAGACGAACTGACATCAATGGGTCAGCAACTAGCTATGTTGCCGGCGGACTTGAGATGTGGAAAATTAATGGTGTTTGGTGCCATCTTTGGATGTCTTGACGACTGCGTCGTGATTGCAGCAATATTAAGCACAAGAAGCCCATTCCTCTCGCCTTCAGACAAAAGAGAGGAGGCTAAGGAGGCAAGGATGAGGTTCTATGATGGCGACGGTGACCTCGTCACTGATTTGCAGGCATTCAGGGAATGGGACGCCATGATGCAAGATCGACTGCCGCAGCGGCAAGTCAGGTCTTTCTGCGAGGAGAACTTTTTGTCGTACAATACCTTGTCTGATATTGCAAACACCCGCACCCAGTACTACGCAGCTCTGGTTGAGATTGGCATCGTACCTCCTTCAGCAGCCACGGCCGAAACTCATTCGACCGGTTCGAGGAGCTCACAGCTACTGCGAGCACTCATCGCCTCGGCCTTCACCCCCCAGATTGCACGCATCCAGTATCCGGACAAGAAGTTTGCAAGCTCGGTGTCTGGTGCGGTCGAGCTCGATCCAGAGGCGAGATCGATCAAGTTTTTCAACCAGGAGAATGGCCGCGTCTTTGTGCATCCGAGCAGCACGCTGTTTGGGAGCCAGAGTTTCGCGGGGAGCGCGTCATACATGTCCTACTTTAGCATAATTTCCACAAGCAAGGTCTTTATCAGAGACTTGACTCGTAAGTTATTATTCTGACTTTTTATCCTTCACCCCTTGTCGATAGATGGCCATTGACTGGTGTTTATCGCAAATAGCATTCAACGTCTTCACCTTGCTGCTCTTTTCCGGCCCTATAGAGCTGGACACCCTGGGCCGGGGTCTGATTGTGGATGGATGGTTGAGGCTGCGAGGCTGGGCTCGAATCGGAGTGCTCGTAGCTCGGCTGAGAGGATTGGTGGATGATTTAATCGCGGAGAAGGTTGCCAAGCCGAGCGTTGAACTTGATAATAGCGAGGTGATTTGCCTGGTGAAGAAGCTGATTGAGTTAGATGGCATGGATGCATGATCGGATTATATGACGATAGACACGACGGACATAAAATATCACGATAGATGGGGCGAGGCAGGAGTCTACAGATTTTCTATAGGCATTATTGTTTTTTAAACAGGATTATTCTGGCCATCGAACCTACCTGCAACCTCTCTCTGGAAGAGCCTGATACAAAAGTTTGATTGGTGCTTCTTTTGTGGCTGTCATGTTTGCTAGTTCAATTATACCAGACTGCCGCAATTAGCTGTGAGTCAGGTTGAGGCCGCCCCACCACAGCTCTTGACTTATACCTCCCACTTATTAGGCAGACACTCGAACTTACACTATGTTCCATCTCTACCCAAGAGCTTCCTTCACCAACCTTGCACTCCTTGGCTGGTGTTGTCCTCTGGCAGTGATCGCACGATGGGCTCACCAGGCTCCGACTCGGACGAAGCAATCACCAAGGATGAAATCCAGGGTGTTGAACCCCCACAAGCCAAGGGCAGCCGAAGCAAAAATGCATGTATGTCGCTGTCCGTCACCACCACCTCGTCCACTCACTGAAACCCAAAAGTTACAGAGCTCATGAGACCCAAGCCCAAGGCTCCTCCTACACAGGACTCCAGTCCCTCCAGCTTTTCCAGAGGCGGCCACCCCTTTAAGGACCGCATGGGCCTGGGCGCCTACCTGGCCGACCCGTCGTCCTTCCCATCATCGCGGGTCATCTACCACACCCCGGACTTTGTCGTCATCAACGACCTCTTCCCCAAGTCCACCATCCACACCCTCCTGCTTCCGCGCTCCCCAAAACACAACCTAATGCACCCGTTCGACGCTCTCGAGGACGCCGACTTCAGGGCCAAGGTCGTCGCCGAGACGGACAAGCTCAAGGCCCTCGTGGCCAGCGAGCTGCGCCGCCGCCTCGGCCACAACAGCAGGGCGGACGCGGCGAGGCAGGCGGTCCTAGACGGCGACGACTTGACGTCAGGCGTGGAGCTCGACCCGGCCGACGGGCTGCCCCGCGGCCGCGACTGGTCGAGGGAGGTCATCGTCGGCGTCCACGCCAAGCCGAGCATGTCCCACCTGCACGTCCACGTCCTGTCGCGCGACATGCACTCGCCCAAGGTCAAGCACCGCAAGCACTACAACTCCTTCAACACGCCCTTCCTCGTCGACGTGGCCGACTTCCCGCTGGGGCTGGACGATCCGAGGAGGCAGACCAAGGAAGCCGGGTATCTGCACAGGGACCTGCGGTGCTGGAGGTGTGGGCGGAATTTTGGGAACCGCTTCAAGCAGCTCAAGGACCATCTGGAAGAGGAGTTTGAGGAATGGAGTCGGGAATAGTATGAGGGACCCCACGACGCCGAGCAAAACCACATCTCCAAGTCTTCGCTAATACGAATGGGTGTACACGGGGGGCCACTGGGAAGCATGAAAACAGAAGACTGCTCTGCCCGAAGCTCTGCTGCTCTGGTTTCGGCTGCCCGCCTGCCCATCTTCATCTGTGCCCCGTCACCCGCCCACAGCACCCTTATATTCTTGTTGGGGGACCTGGTAGCCTTACCAGCATAAAAAACAGATTTCCATTATTATGATAAAGCGCCCACCCGGCCGCCTTGGCTATAACTCCTAGCTATCCTGATACCCACGCGGTGTTTGTCCGTCAGAAACCCCTCCCCTTGGCTAATCGTTCCAGCCTAGTAATCGACACAGAATGCAGGCAAGCGACGTGTTTCATTTCTGTTGTGAGTTTACTGCAAAGATAAAGAAAAAATATATCCATCAACCAAACCACCTGTTATTGTGTTGGTTTACTCGCTGTTTTCTTCAGCGTCCTATTACGAATGAGCCGTTAGTCTTTGTATTTTATGTCTCCATGGGGGGAAGGGTGGACTAACATCATTGGCCTCGTCCTCAATCTGCTTGTTTGCTGCAAAGCCGATGACGTTAACTGCGCGCGCCTTCAAGCGAGTCGAGTATCATCAGGGGTAGGACTGCTTACCCTCGTCCTCTTCATCATGCTCCTCGTCGGCATCCTTCTCATCAACATTGTCCTCAACCTCTTCCTCTTCCTCAGCTGCCTTGGACGCTCTCCTTCCCTTCTTGGTCGCAGACTTGGGGGTTGTCGCGGCGCCAGCTTCAGCGTCCGACTTGCGAGGTCGTCCGCGAGTACGCCCCCCGGCCACTGCTGGCTTAGCAGCTGCTTTGGCAGCGCGCTTGGCGGCAGCGGCCGGCTTGCCGCTTCCCTTGGGGCGACCGCGGGGGCGCCCAGTGGGCACGTACGCGGGCTTGGGCTTGGGCGGGCCTGAGCTGCCGTCCTTTCGAGGGCGGCCACGGCCACGCGCCGGGGTTCCCTCAGGCTTGGTGACGCCTCCAGCGGCTCCGCGAGATCCGCGGCCTGAGGTGGCTGTGCTGTCCTCCTTGGGAGAAGCTGCTGGCTTTGTCTTGGCCATCTTTATTGAGGGTGAAAATGTGGAATGTCGATGGTTTTTCGGTATATGCCGGTCGCGGTTCCGGCGTTTTGCGCTGAACCTTAGCTCGGAAGCTGGATCCGCGATGCGACAAGCGTGAAAATGTGCGATACACGAGGAATTTGGCGTGTTCAAAATTGATGCAGAATGAGGGACGAACGAACGAGGCTTCAGGGAAGGAAATAGGAGAATCGGGGGCGTGCTCGTTGAGAAAAAAAATCCAGAGGAAAAAAAGGAAAACGCGTTTCGACCTGCGGTTGAGATTACAGGTAAGGATAAGGCTAGCACAACGCGTTCGGGTCACGTTCAGGCAGTGCGCTAAATCACAGAGGGGCGGGATCAATCGAGCCGACGCTCTGCAGGCGCTAAATTACAGGGTCCTGCAGTGTAAATTCAGCATGAAAGCGGGGGCCGAGCCGCACATCATCGATCTTTGGACTCGGCCTCGACAAACCATTGATCCCTATCCGGCTACATGCAGCTGACAACGCGGTCACAATTTGAAACAACCTGTTACTCTCCTGCAGCAGTAATCTCATCGCTCGATCGATTGTCTGGATCTTTGTTGTCTGCGATACCAAAAGGTTCTGATGCCTTTGATAATTCGCACTCGTCGCCAGCCAGTTCGCAAAGCTTGCGTCTAGGAAAACGCCAGCCCCAATACCTCGATTTGGTTATACGTTAAACATTAAAGAAACTACAGTCTGCAGGTCTCCCTGCCAAGACACTTTTGATTCTTACGTGGAACGAAACGAGTAGGCGACATTAGAGGTGAGACCAAAATTTGAAGGGTTCTTCACACATCTCATCATACTGGTGGGAAGTCCAAAGTCATTCATGAAGCATCAAATCCATACAAATTATTTGAAGGAATATAGGAAATATCTATCTTTCTATTCGCTTGATGCCAACGCCAACACCTGGAACACCAGGAAAGAAACCAAAGCACGGCCTTGCCTCATCCCCAATACCATCCACCACCTCCACAACAAGCTTGATCCATGCAGCACTAAGAGTGTCTTACCTCAATCGGCTTTAAGTAAACAAAGTGGTGGCATCAACAGCGCCTGGCCATCACACGATGCGCGTGAAGGAGGGGTCAATCTGATGTACGTTAGTGGCAGAAGAGATGTTTTAAACCTGGGGATCGATCCAATCTCTCTTCCGTCAGACGTTGCTTCTTCTTCCGCTTCATTTTGAACCTGGCGAGCGCTGCATCGCAATCAACAGACGCCGTCTCCATCCAACTACCAGGACCCCTGCTACAGCGGATAAGCTCTGGAGTTGAATCGCCCAGCGACCCAGATTCGCCCACGCCAACTGGCCGGGGCCCCAGCACAGACAGCCCAACAGCAGCCCAGCGCACCCAACAAGCCTGTCGCTACCTAACCTACAGGCTACGTGCCCACTAACCGGCTGATAGGCCCATTTGGTTGACCCTAGCAACCAGCCCATCTCCCAACTGGGCAAGCAGCATAAACAAGAAAAGTGGATGGGAGGAAGTCGGCCTTTGAAATGTGGCACATTCTTCGTCAACGCCGCCAGAATACTATCGAGCAAGTCAATTACACACTCCGGGACATAGCTCTCGACTCTAGACTCATGCCTTCCTCGCCCGATCCCCAGCGTGTTGTGCGCTCCTCTGCCTCAACCCCTTCTCTGCGCTCGCGCGATGGGACTGTTCCCATGCTCTCCAGAATGGACGGCGGAGGCAATGTGCGGGTCGTGGTCCGCGTGCGAGCTTTCCTCCAGAGGGGTGAGTGGGAGATTTTTCTCTATGTGTGAAGCTTGGAGAGAGTTATTACTGACACGCCGACACAGAGCTCGCCAAGCAGACTCGCTGCCTGATAGACATGGACCCAATCACGCAGCAGACGACACTCCTCCCACCAGACGATCCAGACGCTACCAGCGGAGGGAAACAGCTTCAGCCAAAGTCACGCAAGGTCTATGAGGAGAAGAACTTCACATTCGACAACTCGTTCTGGAGTCATGACCCAACCGACAAGCACTATGCCACACAATCAGACGTCTACAACAGCTTGGGAGAAGAGTTTCTCGATCACAATTTCGAAGGGTACCATACTTGCATATTCGCCTACGGGCAGACAGGGTCCGGGAAGAGTTACACAATGATGGGCACGCCGGACCAACCTGGTCTGATTCCTCGAACGTGCGAGGATCTGTTTGAGCGCATTGATGCAGCACACGCCGAAGACACCAACATCGCCTACAGCGTGCGTGTGTCCTACTTCGAGGTGTACAACGAGCATGTACGAGATCTCCTCGTGCGCTCCGACCCCAACAAACCTCCCAATTATCTCAAAATCCGAGAGTCTCCCACCGAAGGCCCGTACGTCAAGGATCTGACAGAGGTCCCCGTCCGGAACATCGATGAGATCTTGCGGTACATGACCAACGGTGATGCATCAAGAACAGTGGCCAGCACCAAGATGAACGACACTAGTAGCCGAAGTCACGCCGTCTTCACCATCATGCTCAAGCAGATTCACCACGACATGGAGACTGACGAGACAACCGAGAGAAGCTCGAGAATACGACTGGTGGATCTCGCAGGTAGCGAGAGAGCCAAGTCAACTGAGGCCACAGGCGCCCGGCTGCGAGAAGGTAGCAACATCAACAAGTCGCTCACTACGCTGGGCCGTGTGATCGCCGCCTTGGCAGACCCGAAGGCGCTGCGGGCGGGCAAGCGGAAAGACGTCGTGCCGTACCGTGATTCTATCCTGACCTGGCTGCTCAAGGACTCGCTGGGAGGCAACAGCAAGACTGCCATGATTGCTTGCATTGCGCCGTCCGACTATGACGAGACGTTATCAACACTCCGGTATGCCGACCAGGCCAAGAGAATCCGGACTCGTGCTGTTGTCAACCAAGACCACATTTCCACTGCCGAGAGGGACGCCCAGATCGCAGCAATGGCAGAGGAGATCCGTCTGCTTCAGCTCTCCGTCTCCGACTCGCGGCAGAAAGAAAAGAATGCTCAACAAGCCGAGGAGAGACTGGAGGAATATCAGAACCGCGTGGCTGCAATGCAGCGAAAGATGGAGGAGCGCAGCATGGTGGCCGAGAGCAAGATCAAGAAGCTGCAGACCGAAAACGAGGCTCTCAAGCTGCATCTCAAGCTCGCCATCGACAGTCTCAAGAACCCCATCCCACCAGTCACCGTCAAGAGCATCGACGAAGGCGTAGACAACAAGGAGAATATAGACGCCGACGACATATCCGAGGCCGATGATTATGAGTACGACTATGACTCGGAGAGTACTGCATACGGCGAAGACGACCTGCAGGAAGACATGAGACGCTATTTGACGGACATGGGCAACCTGCGGAAACTGATCGGGGGAGACATGATGCGGTTCAAGGACGAGGAGAGCGCCAGGATGCCTCTCGGGGCACGCGAGAATATCTGAGCCAAGAGCTCTCTTTGATGGAAAGCACGGTGTTTGGGAGTGCATATCACGACAGGAAATATTGTTCATTCACACTTGGTTCATTTCTTGTTTGTTTCTTTTTGTCAAGCCATAGGAGTTTTGTCTACTTTGGTCAAGATAGTACCAACATAAATTGATATAAATACCTATCCAATATCAACGACGACCTCGCCGTAAGAGATTGTGCTTCCTTCCCTCGTCTTGGACAGCTTCGTCGTAGCTGATTTTACCTCCGGCCAACCGCCCCACCTACAACCACAGTTCTACATCGACGTCCAAACAAGATATTCACCGCGCTCTCACAACTTACAACTTACACACACCCTACGTGGCAATATCGCTTAAAGCGCCACGGCCTTGACCTTCAGATTCCTTCATCTTCACCTACTTGGATGATACACCTATAAAGCAACACCAACTGCAACCGGCGAGCCCTGCGAAGGCTCTCCACTGCAAGCAACCTCCAACTCGCTCACCAAAGAATCTCAATACGCAAATAACAGATTCATCCATCGCACACCCCAAAACAATGCCCGCCCGAGTCCCCTCGGCAAAGGACTTCGAGTCCCTCGCCTCCACCCTCCCCCACTCCCTCCACTTCCCCTCGCCCCCGGAGTCCACCACCTCCATCCTCATCCTCCTCCACGGCCTCGGCGACACGGACGCCTCCTTCGCCTCCTTCGCCCGCGGCATGAACCTCCCCGGCGTCCTCGCCATCTCCGTCCGCGGCACCTCCCCGCTCCCCGCCGGCCTGCTCCCTGGCGGCTCCGGTACCCAGGGCTTCCACTGGGGCGACGACCTGCTCATGGACGAAGGGCGGGGCGAGCTGGATAGCGACCCCGGCTTCGCGCGCGCGGGGGACAGAGTGCTCGGCGAGCTGGTGCGCGGGGTGCTGATCGGGAAGCTGGGGTGGGAGATGAGCGACGTCATGTTCTTCGGGTTCGGGCAGGGCGGTTCTCTGGCCCTGGGTCTGGCGTCCCAGCTGCGCGTGCAGCCAAAGGTCGTGGAGGTCTCGGATGACGGTTCAGATTCAGCAAACTTGGGCGGGGAGACTTGCAAGGGCGCCGTGTCGATTGGCGGTGCTCTGCCCTACTCTATGATTCCGACTGTCAGCAGTCGGAAGAAGAGCAAGTCAAAGGTTCTTGCTGTGCAACTGTCCGACAGCAGTATTGATACGATAAAGAAGGAGTTTGAGGATGTTAGGGTCGTACAGTGGAAGAGGAGGGAAGTTGACATGCCTAGGAATAGGGAGGAAATGTTCCCCATCATGAAGTTCTTTGCTGACCAAATGAGAAGTTGGGGATAAACAAATATCTTCACATTAAAACCTTGGCAAAGGAAAAAGCTAGTAAAAACCATGGGTATCATGTTTTTGCCACTCCGATATTCTATCGTGTCTCATCTCAAATTGCCCATCTGAAGCATCTCTGCTAGCGTGTCCCATTTCGCTGATTGAGAGTCACCCTTAGCCCTGGCCACACTTCGCAGACCTTCTGTTATAAATCGTAAATGTCTCTCAAAATCCTTCTGTATCTCACTCAGCGCTTCCAAGGTCGTATTCCCTGCATATGATTGCTCCAGCTTGATCGCTAGGTCCATTATATCAGACATGCATTCCCTGATCGGTTCAAGCCGAGCCCCGAGGCAAACACCATCGACAATATTCTTCATAAACGTATCGTGCACAACGATGAGGGCGTCTACATCTTGAGCTTCTCGGAGTTTCTGTCGCATTTCCAAGAGGTGAGGTGTGAGTACCAGTGTCGATATGTAGTTTTGCATCGTATTACAAAACCACAATATCCTAGTTCGGCATGAGTAGTACAACGCCCGTGCCTCCCAGTCCTCGTGGTCTGTCCAGTAATAGTCCAGAATCTTGGGTTTGTGAAGCTCATACGCGGCTCTCTTGAACTGAAGAAGAAGAGAGAAGATCTTCTGGTAATTTTCCATACTCGTTGATGACAGAATCATCTGTACCGGCCACGTGAGGCGATAGTCAACCTTAACATGCGGAAGTACGGATCGTACAGAGTCTCTTGCGGAAGTAGGAGATTTATCCATCCCTAGCTTATCCACAGTAACAGTCAAACGGTCCGCATCTAGCAGAGCCCCGAAAGCTTCCTGAGCAATCGCTGTCAAGAAATATCGACTTCTCCACGAGGGGTCAAGAGAGTTCATCTTGGCGAATATAGCCTCATGGAAGATAGTCGAGGCAGATCCATCTGACATGAAATAAAGTCTCTCTAGTGAATCAAGGCTGGAAAACAGCGCGCACTGTTCAAACAAGGCCGTCTTGAGGGTTGTCGATGTCGAGCGATATTTGCTTTGAATCCAGCGCTCAAAAGCAGCAGCGAAGAGATCTGGAAATGGAGCGAATTCAAACCCAGCTGGGCAAATAGAGTCATAATCCAGAGGTGGCTCTTCTTCCTCCACGTGACGCAGAATGGATTGGTACTCCAAACGCTTCAAGACCACGATATTTTTTCCCGCGTTCATAATCTTGGTCGCGGCGGGTTGGAGAAATACAGGAGCATGAAGACCTCCATCCACACCGGTACGGAACTTGAACCGATCACTCCATATACGACCAAGAGTCAATTCCGCCGATGTTTCGTATATGAAGAACGAGCCACCAGTCTGCAGCTTGCCTTCATCCATCCATAGTCTAATAGGTCTTAGATAGACGTTGAAACATTCTACAAAGACCCGTGCAAGAGACACGTATATCAATGTATCCTCACTCGATTGAGCCAGTGTTGCGCCTTGGTATAGTAGCTCAAGATGACGAAAAGCTCCAGAGTCAGAGGTGTCGTTCATTCCAGTAACAACGTCTGCCAACGCATGCAACGGTCGTAGCCACGGAGTTAGCTCTATCTTCAAAGCCATCAGGCTAACAACTTCGTCTTTTTGGGGGCACGCAAGGCGGGCGTGTATTTCTGACAATTTTTGGTCAAAGTCGAGCAAATGACTTCCGATGGAATCTTGAAATGCTTGTATATGGGCCAAATCTTGACTTTTCTTCATGAATTTCCTAAGAGGGGCAAGACGCCGGCCAAACTCAGCAAACGTGTTGATTAACGCTCTGTGCGTATCCCACGCAATGTGCGATATTTGAAAAGAGGGTACTGGGATAATGTTGCGATCAAAGAGAGTAGTGTCAAGGCCTTGAAGCATGAACAGAACTTCACGAAGAACATGTGCTTCGCTGACACCGACTTTGCGTATCCTCCCCGATGCGTCTGTTGCAGGTTTAGCAGTGCGCCAACTTTGAGACTCTCGTACTGTACTGAAGAGCGACTCGTCCTCTGGATGAACTATTTTGGTTCCAGTATTCCTAATTGGCCCCTCAGCATCGCTAGGATCAGTCTCAGATAATGAATCCGAGCCATCTGCGGTGTTGGCATATGACAGCTCCTCATCTGAACTGTCACTATATTTGATCGATTTCCAAAGCTCAGCATCTTGATCCCAACCATCTTCTTTGGCAATCGTCTCCCAGAGCAATGCGGAGACGTCGTCTTCCTCAGACTGCCGTAGAAGTTCAAGGTCGCTGAGCTCTGTGTTGAAAGTTGGTTGGTCAGAGAGCTCAAGAAGCAAGAAGAGAATTTCAGGATGCCATTTAGTTGAAACGTCTTGAAGCTTTTCCAGCCTATCGTGAAGATTATCCGCCAAATCATCTCGGTTGTTCACCCGGAAGCGCTCTTCAAGACCATCCAGAGTATTGGCGACATCAAATTGGTTTGTGCGCAAAAATGGATGCGATTTTAGTTTCCGTAGAACCACATCACGATGATGCTTATGCTTCTCAGGGTGTCTCTAACACGGACCGTCAGCTATTCTAGGCCTTTTTACCCAGCTTACGAGAATTGGAATCTCGCACCTGAGAGGATACGTGGGTTACGGCTTCAACAAGCTCGCTAGTGAGCGGCCCAAGTCGAGTTGCAAAGGCCATCGTCGTGGCGCGTCTTCCACCAAACAGTTGTTTCCGTTGTCGTAGTGAACTAGGCTTTGCGGAACTAGCATCATCTTTTCTTTTCTTTTCCTTTCTTTTGTTTTTCTTTACAGGTGTAAATGCTTAATCCTGGATGAAGCAGATAAACATTGACTTATAGATCGTTTCGTGGTAGATATGGCAGACCGATTGAATATGAGAAAGAATTCATATAATCAGAAAGCCTGTAAAAGATACATCCTAGAACCTGCATGTATGGCTCCTTCCACTGCCAGGCGGATCAAGCTCATGCGCGGCCAGATGGTATCATGCAAAGGCAGGTGCGATGCAGCCGAGCGGTGGACGCGTCCGCTGGCAGGAGCAAGGGCCAGCTTGAGCGGAGTTTTCCCTCCCTTACGTACGCTGGGGAACCGTGATAAGCTTTTGCTCCACTTTTCGCGCCAAGGCCGCCACAGTGATTGGTGTGCAAGCGGTGACATCAGGAGTCTTGCGTATCGAATTCGAAACCCCTGATAGCCCCGAAATTATGGCCATCGCCATGTTTCCAACGGCCCATCTTTCCCCCTAACGCATTTTACTTTCTTCTAAACGTCAAACGGCCATCATCTGGTTGATGCGCTTTTCATGAGGACGCAAAAACCATGCTGTAGCGCTTCTTGACGTCTTTTTCCTTTCATTATTCGCATGCTAGTCATCTTTCTTCATCAATGTCCAATTGAGACTTCGACAGTCCACCACAGGCATACTCCAGCTAGCCGGCACCAGCCATGGCGTTAGCACGGCCCGTAAGGGCAATGATCGTGTTCGCCGTCATTCTCTGGTGCTTTGTTGTATTTCAGATCTTCAAGCCCATGCCAGAGAGGCATGGCCCCGGCGACCGATATCTCAACTTCGAGCGCGATCCCAACCTCGACCGTGAGCCATTCGAACCAGCGCCAGCATCGCACACGTGCCCAAGACAATCGCTAACATATTCCATTCCTAGCAACGGGCGAACCGGAAGGCATTCTCACACGCGCCTCTGAGAAATACCATCCCAATGCGAAGAATACAGATCGAATCGATGCCACATTGCTGGCTTTGGTGAGAAACGAGGAAGTGGATGACATGGTGTCCTCAATGATCGATCTCGAAAGAACCTGGAACAAAAAGTTCAACTACCCATGGACTTTCTTCAACGACAAACCTTTCACAGAGGAGTTCAAGAAGAAGACATCGGCTGTGACCAATGCCAAGACCTACTACGGTACGTTGATTGGGATATCAGGCCCTTGCTCCAGCTAACTTTCTCCACAGAGGTCATCCCAGATGAGCATTGGGACAAGCCAGCATGGATCGACGACCAGATATTCGCCGAGTCGGCAAAGGTTCTTGAGGAGAATGGCGTGCAGTACGCGAGCATGATGTCCTACCACAAGATGTGTCGCTGGAACAGCGGTCTCTTCTACAAGCACCCCGCCCTAAAGAACACACGCTACTATTGGCGTGTTGAACCCAAGGTGCACTTCTTTTGCGACATCGAGTATGATGTTTTCCGTTACATGTACGACAATAATAAAACCTACGGATTCACCATCAACCTATACGACGACCCCAAGACTCTTCCAACCCTGTGGCCAGAAACGGTCAAATTCTTGGCAGAGCATCCAGACTACCTCCACGAGAACAGTGCTATGAAGTGGCTTACCGATGATGTCCACCGTCCTGACCACAACCGCCAGGCTCAAGGATACTCGACATGTCACTTTTGGAGCAACTTTGAGGTTGCCGATATGGAATTCTGGCGAAGTCAGGCCTACGAGGACTATTTCAACCATCTCGATCGTGCTGGGGGCTTCTTTTATGAGCGATGGGGCGACGCGCCTGTTCACAGCATTGCTCTTGGAATGCTCGAAGATGCAAACAAGCTTCATTGGTAAGACCACGACGCTATGAGGAGCAAGTGAAGACATTTACTAACAATGTTGTCGCAGGTTCCGTGATATTGGGTATCAACATATTCCCTTCTTCAACTGCCCGAACTCGAACAAATGTAAAGGCTGCGTTACTGGCCGCTTTACTGATGGCGAAGCCTGGCTCCATCGCGAGGATTGCAGACCTTCATATTTCCAGCATGTTGGCATGAACTAAACGACGAAACGCCTGAATTTTGGACACAATCATTATTGGGGGGGATATCGATGTTCTTCGAGCATGTATTTTTATCTGCTAATTATCTTAGAGGCATGGGATCATGGATTGTCGGGGTCGAAATATTCCACAAACGGCAACCTTGGGTCGTGTGTCTTATCGTTTCTCAGCCATTGGCAAGTGGTGTTTCAGGCGCCGGCCGGCCTTCATCAATACACGGGTAATGGTAGGAATTATGATGTATATGGGTGTATAGAACAACTCTTTTGGATGAAAATACGAGATTGGAACCCCTTCAACATAGCATAGAGGCGAGGTTTTGAATTATGATTGATTCTATTCATAGCGCTCCAAAAACTGTAACCACACCCGAAGTGCCTCCAACACAGAATTGATCCCCCCATCCATTATTCCTCCAAGCCATGCAGCTCACGACATTGCTTCTGACCTTCTCTTTCCCATCTCTGCCCACCACCTTTTTCCGCTGGTCAGGCCCGCCCGGCCCCCAAGGCACCCTCACCTCGGCGACCAGACGGCCGTTGAGCAGGTCCCACGCCCAAATCCTTCCCTCACCATCTGGGGGCGATTCATCGCCCGCAAGAACGTACTTCTCACCACCCCCCAACATCGACTGCACCCTCAAGTCGGTGTTCTTGAACCTCGGGTCCGAGTAAGCCCGAAGACACTCCCCAGAGTCGCGATCCATCAACCTCAGCTTACTGTCCAGCGTCCCCGTGAGCATCGCCCTCCCATCCCTCGTCAGATCCAGGCTCGTGACGCTGGCCCCCAGCACGTCGGTGGTGCACCTCCCCATCCGCACGTCGTAGCTCCTCACCCTCCCGTCCACACTGCCCGCGACGACCTCGGCGCCCCGCACGGCCAGGCACGTCACGGCGTCGCGCGCCTCCTCGAGCACCTGCACGGGCTTGGGGTTTTGGCTCCTCGCGTCCCACAGCCGCACCGTCGTGTCGAATCCGCCGCTGGCGACGAGCGAGCCGCCCTCGCCCGCCATCCTGACGCAGTTGACCCGCGAGGAGTGGCCGCCCGGCGCGGAGCCGCCGAAGCGCCGGGTCGTCTTGGCCGTGGCCACGTCCCAGAGGAAGACGGCGCGGTCGCCGCCCGAGCTGACGAAGCGCTCGTTGTCGGCGGCGACGTCGAGGCTGAGGACCTCGTACCCGTGGGCCTGGTAGGACTGGATCAGGCGGCCCTGGGGCACGTCGGGTTTGGGGAGGGGGTGGACGGAGGGGATGGTGGTGCTGGGGAAGGGGTTGTACAGGCGGATGGTCCTGTCTGACGACCCGGTGAGGATGTAGGTTCCGGGCGACGCTGAGTACGCGACTGCGTGGATTGGGCCTGTAGATTGAGTTAGTTATCTATTTGGAGTTTGCTGTAAGTGAAGGGGGGGGAGTCTAGAAACTTGGGCATGAGACGGACCATTTGCGCCCAGGAGGAGGGCTGCTGGCTGTGTTGGAAAAGCCATTAAATTAGTTGGATTGAGGAGCCCATCTCATCCAGTGCAGGCTTCCTGATAAGTTGCCCAGTTGATGGAATGAGGAATTGACGGGTCTGACGAACTGGATGTTCTGATGGTTCTGGCTTGAAAGCAGATGAATGAGAAGAGAATGCTTTGGTCACTTATTGGCTGACGTTGTACGTGACCCACTTTGTCGTGGTCTCAATCAACCTGCCAGACGACCAGAGTTACTTTGATAGAATAATTATCTTCGTCAAATGTCTCCTATTTTGTAGCAATGATTTGGTAATACTGTCTAATAATTATTCAATAAGTTCTTGAACACTTGGATTATTGTCTCTGAGTGTTGTGGCCTATATGAGAAAGCTGATTAGGAACCCTTCACCTAGTATAGCTATAACTCAAGACACATGTCAAAAAGGCAATTTTCTTTGTTATTTATTCAACTACCTAGTTTTATGTCTATATGACAAAAATTTACATAAAGATTCTTAGAGGACTCTCGCATCACTAGATGATGAAAATGGGAGTGTCATCTTCTCCGAACGTCACAAGCATACATTAGAAATCGCATTTCAAGAGTCAAGAATCAATGCGGTCAAAAGATATATTTGGGGCCTTGCAGCCCGGAGATCTTGAAATCTCTGCTAATTCCCAATCGCATAGCTAAAATAACAACAAAGGGTCATCTGATCCCGATGACCAGTGGTATCAATCCCGGAACGCCTAACTGTCAAAGATGCTGATGAGCCACCCCAGTTTACGCAGCGCGCGCACAAAACATATATACGGGGAAAAAAAAGAAAAAGACTAAAATGATGTATGGCAAGATATGTAGATGAAAGACGTAAACTTCAATGTATATATGCAAGAAATAGGAAAGCGTTCGTAAAGTCCGTTTTCTCCCCTTGGGAGGGGAAAATTTAGTGCAGACCCAGGTAGATGACATCCATGTCAGCTGCAAAGGTCCTGCCCAGAGGCTCGGTGAACTCCCAGTGGAGCTCCTTGTCGTCGTTCTTGCCCCAGGGCTTGGAGGTGAGGACGTAGCCCTCGGCCGGGCTGACCGGCTGAGGGCCACGCTCGAAGATCCTGTTGAGGAGGTAGGTCCTCCTCTCGATGGCGTGCTGGATGTTGCGCGAGTCGTCCCAGATGTTGGTCATGTTGTCGATGGGGGGTCGCACACGGCGGATGTTGTCGATGACCTTCTTGGCGAGGGAGAGGGGCTGGCTCGCGGAGAGCACGTCCACGGCCTCGGCGACGGCAATGGCGAGCATGGGCGGGGGGACGCTCATGTTGGTAGTGCGGGATCTAAAGAGGCCGTCGATGCTGTCAACCATGTCGATGGTGTCGGCGGCATGCTCCTGGCATGCGCGCACGTGGTGGAATCGCGCCTCGCTCGACAGCTGGCGGGGAGCACGGCTGTGGCGGTTCAACTTGATCATGGCGTGGTGGTAGAGGAGGTGCATCGAGGCAAAGGGGCCCATGTTGCCCTCGGTGGCAGCGGCCTCCAGGTTCGAACGGTTCAGTGACAGTCTGGTTGGTAGGGTAGACTGCCATGACTCAATTGATCCCATCAAGCCTCGTACCTTACTGAACTCACCATCGGCAGATGCTGGCCTGTGAACCAATCTGTACACAGTGGCCTGGCTCTCAGCCCAGAGGTGGACCATCATCACCAAGTAGGTGGCGATCTCATCAGCGTGGTTGGACATCTTTGAAAGGCTGAGCGAGTGAGGGTTGAAGACTGGGGCGAGACTCTCGACCTGCTCCTCAAAGCTGCGGCGATCACAAGGAAGACGGATGTAGATGTCCTCAGGGTTGATCATCGTGACGCGATCAGGGAACATGCCACTCAGCCGCTCGAGCATGAATAGAGACCAAATAGTTCGCCTCCTGGCCTCGCAGTACCCGGCTCGGTTGAGACCCAGGGGAAACGACGAGATGGATGCCTCGTTGGAGTTGTCCAGCTCGAGGTTCAGCTGCAGGGAGGCGACAGTTGCCGCGGCCGCAGACATGAGTTCGTTAGCCTCACGCTTTCGGCCGACGGAAACATAGTACAGAGCAAGAAGGACCCGGCTCTGGGCAAGCTGCAGGCAGTTGAACTGCATGCCCTTCTGCGCGTACTGAGCCACCTGTGCGTATTCAAACGCAATGTGCTTGGGGCCTCCGGACAAGGCAACTCCCACTGCCAAGATGCTGTACAAGAGCATCAGATCCTCGGGCAACTTCCGCCGAGTCGAGTCCGTAACCCACGCCCTAGTGGATCGCTCGGGGAGCAGCGTCAAGACCATGGTACCATCGACATGTGAGAAGAACTGCGAGACAACAGCCTTGATAGACTGGGGGTCAGTGACGAAGGGGTCTGTCTGCCAGGCTCGGTGCAAGACGTCGTCGGGGATGCGAGGCATCGCTGGTGTTGGCGTCGGGATGGGCGAAGCCACATGGGATCTGGATCGGTGGAAGGGCATAGAGTTGGAAGGCGGCGAGTCTCGGCTTGGCACGTATGTCTGCTGATCAACTTTCAATCGCTTGTTGGATCCCGCATCGGCGGAAGATGGGCGGAACTGAGCACGGGGCGAGACTGGGGAGACCGATCGGCGGCCGAAATCCTCGGCGGACACTCGTCGAGAACCGCCACCGGTTCGAACATCGTCGAGTTCGGCTGGTGGTGTAGATGGAGAAGTATTGTGACCACCTCGCGGGCTTGATTTCATTGAGTTAGCACAAGGGATTTACACTCCCACATCAGTCAAGGTGGGATTTAATACTCACGCATTCTTGAATCTGCAGACTCGGCCAAACTTTTCGCACTGAATGCACCGGGGGTAGTCGGGATCGCACTTGATCTTCTTCTCGCGGCAAGTGACACAAGCAATTGCCAGCCTCTTCCTTGGCTTACCAGCCTTGGTCACACCCCAGTGGGGGGTGACAGCCTCGCCATCGATAACCGTCTTGCAGTGAGTTCCATCGTCGTAGAAATAGCAAAGGCCTTCACCTGGCACGTCGGCGGCCTTGACAAACCTCGGCAGGAAATGCGTCCCTGTCCAGATCTTCGGTCCAAGAGTGCTCTTCGTCGAGGAGCCATCAGCTTGCGACGTGCTGTTGGCGGTGGTTGGCGGGTTGGCGGCGGTGGAAGAAGGCATCCCATGTTCCCTGAAGCCGCTGCCGGCCTCCTTTTGTCCTGTAAACTGCAGGCGGAAGTGGTCTTGAGAGGGCTGCATCGTGCGGCTTCGACCAAATTCGCCCCTCCCCGCCTCAGCGTCCAACCGGCTCTCCTGTGCGTTAGTTGGGCGAAACCTTGGTGATCCAGGCCCAGAGGCCGATCGTCTCAGTCCTTGGAATCCGGGCTTCTCCGCATTGCCATCATACGAGGTTCGTGGGTGTGATAAAGGTGGTGAGAGTGTGGGTGGGAAGTAAGAATCACTTCGCCCAGCAGAGACATGTCGAGGGCGGTCCATTCTTGGTGACGATGTTGCGAGAGAGCTGTGTCTATCTGAATGGGGCGAGTTCAGAGGGCGAGGAGCTGGAGGAGGAGGTCCGAAGATGCTGCTTAATGAGGGAAGCTGCTGCTGTGGCTTCTGTGGTCCGGCGCCCAGGTTGTCAGCCAGCTTGGGGCTTGTCTCTGAAGCCTTCTCGCTAGCCATCGTGCTGCTGTTGCTGCTGCTGGGGTTCTTGTCGTAATCCTGCATCGGGGGTGACGATATGGAACGGGAGCTCCAGGCAACTTCTGTAGCTGGGGATGATCTCGATGAGAAAACTGTGGTTGTCGGGCTCACCAGAGCAGGTGGTGTGTCTGGAGGAAGCAGACGCTGGCCAGACTCGAAGGTAGCTAACCCGCCCATTGAGATAGCTTTACCTTGTGTGGTTTTTTTAGGGATTATGGGAAATTCAAGTGTGCCGTAGGAAGCCCACAGGCATGGCCCGAACGAGTGTTTTCCTCCCAATCAATGTGTTCAACACGTAGATGTCCTCGTGATAGTTTAGTAGCTGCTGAGTCCGGTATCCTAATACGGCCAAACAAACACTCTGGATGAGTGATGTGTTTATGGTATATACTTGTGAAGAGGCTCGTGTATGTTCCAAAGCTGTATATATAAAAAGAAGAGAGAAAACAGAAGCGAAGGAAGGAACAAGCATGTATAGAAAGAAGAATGGAGAGGATCGAGAGGCAAGCAGACTGGGGTAGTGGCTACTATGTAGGTGTAGGTAGGGGCCACAAGGCTTCATAAGATACGACTACAGCAGCCAAGTGGATTCAGGGCCAGGCAGGCGGGTTGGATCTAGAGAAGGCTTGGCTTCGAAAATATGACACGAGGAATCGGGGGTTGTGTGGTTCGGAATGCGAGGCCGAGAGAGATATTAGATTGAGGACGGCCACCATGCGACTTGGACTGGATCCATGATCCATCCCCGGCACCTTGACCCTTCTCCTTCTGCGGGATGTGCCAAAGTACCAAGTAAAGGGCACCAGATTAAGGCACGGTCACAAAGACCAGGTACATACGTAAGAGGTGCAGGAGGAGGCGCAATGACAATGGCAGGGAGCGCACCAGACCCAACAGCAAGACGTCTTTTCAGCTGGGGCTGGACTGGAGAATGGCGACTACGCGATAGGGCAAAGGCGCCGGGTGGGAGAGCAAGACCGCTACGACAACGACTAACGTTAGTAGGTCCCTACCGTCGAGAGCTCCAGGTAATTAGAAGGTACTTGCCGGGCGATGCCAGCTTCAGCCAACTAGCTAGGCTCTCGTCTCCAAAATAAGCGGCTTCACAGGCCAGGGGCCCTTGCAGACCGGAGTTTGGGGGAGGAGACTTGCCCAGGGCATAAGCTACCAGAGTAGCAGCGTTTGCGCCGGTCGGGATCCATCTAGGGCTCCATGCCGAGAGACGTTGCTATTCATGATTCTGGGGCAAAGTCCGTTTAATGACACGTGCGCTTGGCTACATATGTACATGGTGTAGTCTGGTATGGGATAAGGTGTGTGTGTGGTGTGTGTCCGGAGGTGTGTGGCGTGTGCCACGATGTCGACGCTCCCCTCTACTTGGCACACTCGTCCAGGAAAGGGATGTTCCTGTGGGCCTGGGAGCAATGCCGCCGCTCCAGGACCAGGCATGTATGTAAGTCGACGGGATTTGGGAGCATGGGCAAGGGCATGGCAGCGCTGGTGGCTGCAAAGGGCAAGATGTGTAGCATTCGTCGCAAGATCCATCCGACACAGAGCAACAATGATGCGAAGGAGGTCCAGGAAAACAATGCCCTTCGTTGGGGCCCTGGCTGACACTGTACCTCAGCTGGCGTATGCGTTATGCATGTACTACCAGAGTCGTTCGAACGCAGATCGGTTTGAGGCGGCTCCATGGCACAAAGCGGCTGAGAGACATGTTTAGAATGGGCCTTGAGTCTCCAATCGGAGCATCAGTGTCCTATAGTTCACTGAATGAAAAGACACTATGGCCGATGGTAATAATAGCGTGGCGTTGGTGAGGTAGGGGCAAATATGCCGTTGGTAGGCCGGGCTGGCCCTAACGATGACCAACACCAACACCACCACTACCACCACCACCATCAGCTCAGGCCTCGCAACGGCTGTCGCTGTTTGACTTGCACGCCGGGACTTTGACAAATGTGCTGCTAACTCGAGTACTCTCGTAAATGTGGCACCTCCACAGGCCAAGCTCCGATGCCTGCAACAGGCCCCATTACCCATGCAAGGGAGAGAGGGAGGGGCGTTGGGTTAGCAGCCAACAAGACGGTGGAAGCAGTAGAGAAGCAATCATCAGGCTCTCTATGCTCGCAGAGCTGGTCCTTCTGGGCAACGCCAACCAACCGGCCAACCAAGACACGATCGGGCCCGTCTTACCGCTCCGAATCGTCGAGTTCAGGACTCGCAAAAGTGCTTCTTTTTGCGTGCTTGCTGTGCCTCACCACAGGCCCCAGAAGCCAATTGCTGCTAATTCATATACCCGAGAGCGTATGCTAAACCAAAGGGCCAATAAGTAATCATTACAGGTAATCCTACGACATCCTGCCTTCCCCCTCCGCCCAGGGCAGCCCGGTCCTGCCCTCAGGGAACCGTCCGGCCGTGGAGGTTGGCTCGCTTCGCCTGGCTGAGGGATAGACTCGTCGGTTGTTTAATTGTTTGACCGGTACATTTGCTCCTGTGGCTACGTAGGTACGAGTTGTCGAAGCAGCAACTGGCATCGGCGATTTACTGAGTAGGTTTTGGGCTAAGTGGTTGATCTTGTTGGCTACTGCGGCAGTAGCAACTCACTACAATTAGCGGTGGGGATGTTCGGATTGGGCCAAGTCCGAGGCCCGGCCGGGGCGGACAGCAGACTCCTCCGTGCGTGTCCAGCCAGCAGCCGTCGCAGGAAGAGTACTCTTCTGGGCATCAGTGGTCAGATAAGCATACATAAAAGTTGCCAGAGTAGGAAATATTCAGCATTGATTGATGTTGCGAACCCAGTCCAGAGGCTGGCCGTCTGACTGGCCGCCCCACGTAATCAAGAGGGCAAACTGCTGGGCTTTTGGTAAGGCAGTGAGCGAGGAGTGGCTTCCAGTCCCGAACACCTGGCAGGGCCGACCCAGGGCCAGGCAGGGCAGGGAAGGAGCCAAGCACAACTCCTCAAAGGGCAAATCGCACATGGCGGGCAAGCACAGCCAAAACAAAAGCACTTCTGCTCGATCCAGCGGTGCGCTACCATCCATGGCAACCAAAGTCCCAAACGCCGCCTCTGCCTCCCCAATGCCAGGCCGTCCGCTGGCTGCTGGGTTCGTCATGTCTTTGTCACGACGGCCAGGGTCGCTCTAACAGCTGAGACACGCCACGACCCCTGTATGTACTACGTCGCCTACCACGGAGTTTGCGATGCGCTCGGCACATCGAATTTGGGACATGCCCTGCGTATACGCTAATCAGTGGAGGTCGGCATATTGCCCACTCTCCCGGGACCCCCTGAGCCTCGATTTACCACCAGTAGCAGCGTCCATCTGCCCGAGGCGGCCGCCCCTGCACCACGACTGCAAGCCTGCCTCCACGCGCGCGGACTTTGGACTTTCCCATGACATGGAGCATAACTTCTTACCTGCCTGAGCAGCCGAGCGCGAAGGCGGCATCTTCCCCGCTTGGCTACCCGCCGCCTCACCAAGCCATACCGGGCCATCTATACGGTACGTCGCCGTCTGGAATCCCGTCATGGCAACAGCCCTGTAGACGAGCCGCCCAATCTGTACTAATAACCCGAGTCCTGTATTTGGCTTCTCCTAGGAACCGACTGATATCACATGGCATCTACCAACATCCAGCTAGGCTACGCGCAGGTCCTGCATGACCCAAGTACCTGCCCTCGCTTCACCGCCGGGCGTATGACTGTTGCTCTCTCGAGGCATAATCAGCGAAAGAATAGGTATCAGTCAGGGTTATTCATCAATCGATCATCATCCCTTCATTTACTATTCACCCGAAAAAGACCCTTCCCGAGCGCGCGGCGCAAAACCCTGCCAATGCCCAAGGCGCACCAGGGCTCGCATCGCAAAGGATGACAGGCGACCGCCCAAACGAGCCACATTTGGCGCAAAGATCTAAACCTAATGTCAAAAAATAACAAAGGTAGTCCACTGTGGCGGGCTTTGGCATGATCAGGGCACCTTTCCAGGGGTCGCCAGAGATCCCCGTCAGATCTTTTTAGCGGCCAAGGCCAGAATTAGCCGTCACGTCGGTATCGTCCCTTGTTGTTTGAATGCCACTGCGGCTGATTGGCCCGCTCGTGTAAGCCAGTCCCACTCATGTCCATCGTTTCTTCTGTTTTGAGAAAATGATATCCGAGTGAGTGCTTCAGATTGGGCGGCTTTGGTTGGTCTAAAAACAACACCCGTCTCAGATCCCAGAAACGCCGCCCGTGGTCATCAGCGCCAGCGCCAGAAGAGCAGCCATAACCTAAATCCGCTCCGAGATGAGAAGCCCTTCCTGAATCAATTTCCGTGAGTTCCAGAGACGTTGCAAGGCTGCGAGCGGCCACAACTTAGACCGCCCTAGCCTCGTCCGCCGCAAGAACGGTCCATCCATTCAATGGGGAGCTGAAACAGAAGAATTCCACAATAAGAGGTGCCCTCTTGGCACCCGCTTTAAGAAAATCGACCCGAGCCACATTTACGGCTTACACCTACGGGATGTGGTGCAATGCCTCCACATCCAACGGCATGTCATCATGTCCCGCTCGTTACACACATTCCAATGGAATGAAAAAAAGCAGCCATAAGCCGGTGAATTGGTCACATATACGAGCAGCAATTTGCATCTGCAAGGACCACACCTAGGCGATCCGATTTGATGATGATTTGTAACGTAGCGCCGCTTCTTCAAGGCAAATTGCAGAAAGCTCCTCTCCATAGTCGTATTTGAGATGGATTAATAACATGCAGCAGGTACCGGATTGGCTGCATGCCATACTGCGCACATCAACCGACAGTGCCGATATCCTATGACCATGCCTATCTGACCACGCCAGAGAGAAAGGGGAAAGCTTGGTGCCAGCCCTAAGAGAAATGAGAGGATGTGTCATGTCTTCGAAAGGGCATGGGTTCGAAGAAAACAAAAACAAAAATAATGTTCATCACGGTTGGCTCTCATGTGTCCCAATCTATAGGAACAAGAGCTGGCGAGCCTGTGCTCTGGTTCCCCAGATTGAG